TTTACAATTGATCTTTGAAAGATCTGGAGGTGGAGGGGCAGGAAGAGAAAGAAGATCATTGACACAGTACAGCAATCCTGTGAAAGACAGACAGAGCCAAGGACTAGCAAAGTTATAGCTAAAAACTGAGAGTTGGGGAAGCATTAATCCACTGGACCCTAACAGAAGACCCACCATCCAGGAAAGGAGAAGGGTTAGGGTATTTGAAAAATGCCACAGGTGGATTGTTTGTTTCATGAGCAGGAGGAAAAGCAACAGAGATTTTAATCACAGGTAAGGCATGACTTGGAGACTGCCTTAAGCAGATGGTGTCAAATGGGGCTAAGGAAGCGGGCACCTGCCATAATGACCCACTTGTGTAGAAAGGCTCACTGTCTTTGAAACTGGGGACAGGATGTATCCAAAAGGACTACTGTCAGGATAGCCTTACCCTCCTTGAAACTGTCCAGTCCTCATTTACAGTAAAGTCTTCATAATTGGTAGCCATCACTACACCTTTTGGCAATGAAATTCACAGCTTGACTAGGAACTGTGCTGAATTTCCCTCCATTCAGCTTGATTAGATGGTCCCAATTCCTAGCATTATGGTGCACAGGGGTGGGAGACCTTGGGACTTTCATTATAGTGAAAGTGTCTATATAGAAAATGAAGGGAAGGACAGTTATTTATGTTATGCACTCCTGGATTTAAAGGGAATAATTGCATCCGAAGAATGTCTAGTTTTAATAAAGAAAAGGAGGAGCATCTCAGCCCAGGACGACTGTGCTGTCACCTGCTACTACCCTTTCCCACATGTCCATGATAAATACCCTTTTAATGAATAACACACTGAAATCGGCTATTTCCATAGGGATCATGCTTTTCACCTGACATATACAATTAATTTACAGGAAGTTGTTCTCATCCTAAATCTTTGCACCCCTACCCTTTACTCTCCCGAGGAACGGGTTCTTAGCTGAAGATAATTTCATATGATGTCACATTAACTTCCCCTCCCCCGCCGCAGCTTCTCACTTCCCTTCCAGAAGCAATTTGATTCATTCATCTATTTTTCATCATGTATTAGAAGACTGAGTCATCTATAACATCATTTATTAGAAGTGTGCACCATTCTTGATGGAGCCAAAATGACAGCATCCCCTTGGAAAAGCCCAGAAATATGTAAAACCTTTGCAAACAAATACATGGAAAGGCCGGGGGCGGGGGGAGAGCTAAGGGGAAGCCCTTTAATGGCCGAGGAGGACAAGCAGCGACTACATGGACTAGCCTGAATGCAAGCAGTGCAACATTTTGTAGAAGATCCCGTTTTTGGAACCAGAGAATGATCGCCTCCTCCCACCCATCCCCGAAGAATACGGTAGCGAGAATTCCACAAGTGATCGTGAGGCCAGCGTGCTAAGGAAAGCCTAGAATAACTTTACCGCCACAAGACAGCAGTACTAAGGCCAGCTTGCTTTCAGTCCAGCTCGGTGGTTTCCTTAGCAACTCATAGAAAGATGCCAGATAGTGCACTCGGACTTTTCTTGGGGTGCCAATCCACCGGTACGCGCGCGCTGCGCGTCGAAAGGGCGACTCTTTCGCGATTCCATCAACGCAGGCGGTCGCGATACGGTACTGTATTCTCCAGGCAGCAGCCCAAAGGAAGAGCCGCAGGAGCGGTGCCTTTGGCGGCATCCCCACCTATTGGCTGGCGTCATAACTGCATCTTTGATGGCTTCGCTGCCAGAGTAGATTTGTTCAGGCTTAGTAGAGAAGCTGTTCCGTACTTTTCGGGAAACTAAGCGTTGTAGCCGGGAATATTCATGTTTGGATTTAATCGTGCTTATGTTTAAGCAGAGGACACTGTTATTTCGATTCGTTGTGTAAGCACACAGCTAACATTTCCCTTTTCTGTCTCACCACACCACTGAAAGCTTTAGGTGTGGTTTTACATTCAGGCTATCTTTGTACAAAACTAACCAACCAACCGAACAAATTAGCAGTAAGGGAAACGTAGTATTCAGCAGGTAACATTTTATATTTTATGCTTTTTAAGAATATCAAACAGTTCCAATATAAGAGAGTATCTGTAGCTCAGGGTTGAATTATGGAATTCTTGGTGTTCTCCGACCTTGTTTGCTTGCAGATGTTTCATTACCCGATTAGGTAACATAATCAGGGCAGCCTAACTCCATCATTGCTGTGAATGTTCCAATACCTGAAATCAGGAAAGTGGAAAAGGAAGAGAGGTGGGAAACTACCCTTACCTTGGGCTTCTGAGGAAAAGCTAAAAAGTATGCTTCCATCCCACACTTAGGCAGAGGCCAAGCAGACAGGATGCCTACAAAACTCATAGATGGGGGAAATATCTAAAAAGAGTTACTCTCATTCTTCCAAAACTTCTCACCAGAACAGAAACTGGTTCAACCTGTGAATGACCAAGCAAAAAGTTCCGGAGTTGGAGTGCATCTGGCAGCTGCACCCATGGGACCACCTTTTAACTCCTAAAGATTCATATCCTTGTTTAGAGAGATCTCTGATAAGGAAGAAACATTTTACCCAGGCTTTATGAGGAGGAGAGAGAATCCCTATCTCCATCCCTATTAATCTGCTAGATGATGCTGGCAGGGAGTGTGGCTGAAGCTCACTGTGGATGAGATTAATCATTTCCGGTTTTTTCCCCTGCCCCTCCTAATCTTTTCTCCCGTCCTAGTAAAACTACTCATGCCAGGGGATTTGCTCATGTCCAACACAGATAGAAGCTAAATATACATGGAATGTATATGCTTTGAGGAAAATTATCTAAAATCTAACATTTTCTGATCTGATGTCATCCAGATGTGCTGCAATTGCAATTCCCAGATATCACAAACTGCTATAGAATCCTCTTAAAATTCTCAAGGAAAGGCTAGAAAGATGTGTGTTAGGAAAGTTTTACATACATACAGCAAGCAGGCAGCTTCCACAAAAGTTAAAAAAAAAAAAGTGAAGGGATTCAGTGATCTCATCCCAACATGTGGTTACTTCCCTGTAAAGCAAGTTATTTCTTTCTAAATTGTCTGATGCCTATGGAAATATATCCATATCTGGCGATGAGTAATTCCCCAAAGTTGTACTGATATCATGAAAATGTGATCTAGATAGCAGAAGCTACCAAGTCAGTTTCTCTTGTCCAACACAGAGCAACGTGCTTAAAATCCATCCCAAATAGATTATCTACAGCAGCCCTCCTCAGAGCGGTGTGTTCCAAATATTAACCTGCAGTTCCTAGAATATCTAGTCAGCATAAGAAGACACTGAGACATCTGTCACTAGATCTAGCACTACTTTTTGTTCAAATGGAAGTGTCTGTTATTGTTACTGATATTACTAGAAATTCAGGGGAAAAAAATCAAAACATATGAGACTTCCAGACTTCCTATGTTCTAATTATTGCTCTTTCTCTAGCTAACAGAGGTCAATCAGTAAAGTTCTCTAGCCCATGCATTTGTGTGTTTGTATGTGTGGGGAGATTTATGACTAAGAGGGGACAGGAATTAAAATGTTCATTTAGATCCTAAAAATTACCTTTAAAAAAATCTGAACCAGCACAGATGTTATGAAACTGGTTGATATGTACAAATAGTTGCATTTTATGCAGGGACATATGAAAGATCATAAGATTAATTTCTATGAGGCAGGGTGGCACCAAAGTAAAGCTGAAGATGGGAACAAATGCAAAATGCACTTTCCTAACAGTAGACATTGCTACAGTAAGCATGTACATATGATTGCATCAATGTTCCCAAGTGGTGAGATCTTTCCTACGTTTCCTAGGATGACAAGACTTTCTAGCAAAGGCTAAAAGATAAGTCAGTAGAAGATAAATTAAGATGCAGCCAAGCAGCTATGCATGAACAAAAGGGCACTTCAAAGAGAAAATATTTTACTTCCTATTTTAGCTCAGCTTATGGTTCAGGAATGTCTATTTTTTCTCCCCATCCCCACCCCCACCCCCATGTACCTATTGATGCATTGTTAGGAATGTAAAACTGGGATATACTCACCTGAATAAAAGACAGAGAGCTATACTATACAAAGATCTATGCAACATTGCATTTTGACAGATCTGTTAACGGCATACTAAAAAAGACTAGCTTAACTGCATTGCTATATTTATTCCCCCTGTATATTCCCCCCCTTCTAAAATGTCAGCTTTGAAGCCTTGGGATGAAGAAGGAAAGCTAATCACAACTCATTCCTAATAATGACAAATCCATTATCACTGTCAAAAGTTCTGTATCTTTGAAGTTAAGACTATTCTTACTAAACCACTCCATGTTAAATGTTAACAATTACAGAACTACTATCCCTCCTTTAAATTTGTATTTCATTGGCTGAGACTGAAAAAAGGCCTTTTTGTTACAAGTACAAGCTAATGCAGAACTGCATATTTTACAAATATTAATGGAGAAATATGTTAAGAGCACCCGTCCCTGCTCTTCAACTGTAGTTTGGCATGCACGTTTATTCTTCCACATCAGCTTTGTGTATATGTTATGTGAACAAATTATACCATGCACGCCTATGTTATATAACATTTTCCATGACAGGATATTTTAATACAATGCCTCACAAGCCAGTTGAAGGTTAAAGCAGATAGTGTCTCTTTTCACTATTCCCATATACATCAAGATTAAGGGGAATAACAAGAATAGTGCTGAATAGATTGTGCTATGCTGTTGAAAAGACACAGTTGAAAAAGCAATCGGTGGCATCAAACAGAAAACAGACCTTTCATGGATCTCAATGTACATCGTATGACATTCAGCATTATGAAAGTCAGTCTTTTCTTCCACCTCTTCAAATAAGAAAACAAAACAATTTCTGTCATACAAGTACAACGAATCCATCTTATTTGTAAGGAGAGGATTGCTGGGACTAATGAATGTTGGAATCTAACACCATCAGGAAAGCTACAAGGTCCCTACTCTCTTCCATAAAGAGATGCTCAGAATCACCTGGTAAGAAAGAGACAAGTCCTAGGACAATAAAGCAGACTTTATTGGAGGTGCCACGGGCCACAACAATCAAAGCCTTCTCAAAGAGCATGAGGTCTGTGTGAGTGCTAATAGACAACAGCTTAGCTAACACTTCTTCTGCCTCTACTAACTCTTACCTGCAATCACTTCTGAGACTGCAGGTTATCACCCCAATTTCCAATATGCTCACAGTAATTCCTGGTAGCCACCCTGGTCTTTATAGGTATCCAACAAGTGGGGCATGCTTGTTAGGTGATAAGCTAAAAGCAGGTGAAGTTGCTGTTTGCTGTATACTTTCCATTGAGAGAACAATGGGCTGTGCAAAATGCAGCAGCAGGCAAGAGGCGGCATCAGTATTCCAAAGTCTTGCTTTTCATCTGAGTTTGGCACCAGCCAATCTGAAAATGCATTTCACTTCCCGGACAACCGTTCCTCCTTTCGTTTTGTTAAGATGTACTTGAAGAACTCATACACAGACCATGCAATAGCTGTGGAGGGCATCTGGTAAATGACACGTGCCTGAACCCCACGGAAATAGGCAGTTAGCCCGCCCACGCGGTATACCGTCCTGAATGCGTGAGCCATGCCTGTAATGTGCCCACTGATGTTGGTATTCAGTGCCAAGGCTTCCTGGGTATTCAGCAATGTTTTGCAAACGTCCAAAGGTGTGGTGGCGGCAGCAGCAATGGCACCTGCACAGGCACCTGCTACCATGTGGGAACTAGGGTTGTACTGTCTATGGGGATTGAGGTGTTCCTGTAGGGATTCATATGCCATGAAATGGATAGCCTGGAAGGGGATGTTCATGGTCAGTTGAGTGGTATAGCTTCGGTAGAAAGCTCCTGCCCCTTCATTGCACCACACAGCACGCACACAGTCTGTTACTCGCTGATACGGAGAATTGTACATCTGCATTCTTTGTTTTATCACTGGAAATGGATGATAACAGCAGTCCAGCCATAATGAAAGGGGGGAAAGAAAGGAAAAAAAACTGAATGAATACAGATATATAAACAGTATATATTCAGTGTAGACACACACATGGACTATTATGCTTCTGTATTCAGTGCAGCCCTCATATGTACCTCAGTACTGGAATACAGTATCAATCCAGCAAGCCTTACATAATTGCATAAATCAGCAGACCCAGGTGCCCTCTTCCTAGATTGTGGGAAAAAATTGGGGTCCACTGAAATGTGTTTTGATTATCCTACAAAAATCAGGGAACATGTACACAGGAAAGCCATGTTACAATACGATTTTCATTCACTTTTTCACACTTATAACAGGACAAGAACACAAGGCTGTTCTTCACTCCAGCCAATGCAATCCACCATTCAAATAAATTCTGTAGAAATATTTGCTCTGTCTCCCTTCTCACAAGCATAAGAGCATTTCATGGTGATAAGATGGAGCACATAACAAAAACAGTATTACCTTCTGCAGGATTCATGGCTGCATCATGAAGCAATGTTGCCACACAGCCTGCTGCACCTGCAAGACAAGGACTGTTACATGTGAAGAAAAGTTGAGATGACACCCATGAGGGCCCCAATGAGATCCCAGACTATAACATCAAAATACTATATATGTGAAAATAGGGACATAAGCCTTTCCTACCAAGAGACAAGTTGCTTATGCAGAAGCAAGCCTCAATTTTCAATGAGAACAGCAGAAATAATCAAGGTTCTGATACAATGTTTCTCCAAATTAATTTCAATCACATACTGGAAAAAGGAGGAAACAAATATTTCCCAGGTGTTTTCATCAAGGTCTTTATAATATCTGAAGCAGAAAAAAACTAAGACTATTCTGCACCTATTTAGTAGGCTGTGCAGCATTTCAGATTTGATCATATACAAGTGTTTCAGAGAATGCAGGAGCACAAACACAGTACCTTTCTGCTATACTTCAACCATCAAACCCTTTCCCAGTATCACATGGGCAGGAAGGGATCTAAACCCAGGAAAAGATACAGCTACTTTATGATGTTGTAGGCAGGTGCTAATTTCATGCTCCTTCTACCTTGGAAGCGTCTTTTGGATCCCCGAATCTGAAGTGTTGCATAAACCTACTATTTACATCTTCACCATCTTTCTCCTAAAAAAACTCAACAAGCTCCAGGGGGTGATAAATTATGTCTTAGAGTTTAGGAGATAGAACAATACAATCAAATGATCAGAGATTAAGTACAAGCATCAGAAACAATCTATTCTGAGGAAGCACACTTGGCTGAATGAATTCAAGAGCACCTGTTACAGCAAGCCTGGAATTTTCCTCATTCAATTAAGTTGCTAAAAAAAGAGGCACTGAGGCAAATACAAGCATATGTATCTTTAGGATATCAGTCTATAAAGAACACTTTTTAAAAACAGAACTACATGCAAACAAAATCACAGCCATTCTTCTACAATATCACATTCTCACATAAGAAACAAAAACACATGCCAGAAACCTTATTTGCCCAGCCCATTTTATTCCCTTAATCCCTTCCAGGCCACATGTTGCTCAAAAAGACATACTGCTAACATACTGTTTTGGTGTAAGCAGAACACAGCATTATGAAAGAATGTCCATAACCACGAGGGGTTCAGAGAGTACTAATGCCAAAACAATAGGAACAAATCTGGCATCCTCTCACTCTGAGCCCCAACTGGTACAGCTGGAACCCCAGGATGGGGTTAGGAGGCAGGAAGGGATAATACCGTTGGCCACGTGACTATTGCCCCCAGCATGGATAAGGTTGGTAAGTGTCTTTTTCAATTTTTCGTAGCAGGCGAAATACAAGGCATGGGCAGGACCAGCCCCTGTAGCTGTGATGTTCAATCCACGCATAGGTCGCCAGATTCCTTCAGTCTGCACAATCCGCCACAAGGCCTCCAGCACATTCCGGTAACGAGCAGCAGGTTCTGGTTGCAGGCTTTGCATCCTTGTCTGCCAGTGCGGGGGGGGGGGGGAGCAGGTTAGATATGTTTAGAGATTTACTCAAATAAGTTCTCCCAGCCAAGCTCTCTCCACCCACTTTCCTTTTACAAACCTTCAGCATTTGAGTCTCTGCTGTAATTCTGCTGTACATCCTCTCCCTACTTCCACATGATTTTTGCAGACAGTATGGTTCAGTGAGAGGTGTCTGACAGCATAAAAAACTTCCAATCTACCCAGAGTCACCTAACCTCCTATGCAATGGCTGAGCCCAATCCGTTTTGCCGGCAGAAGTAGGGGACTAGTCTGAGATGGAAGTAATAGATCCTACTTCTCAGCTGCTGGCGGCAACGCTTAACTGTCATCTCAAGTTTGGGACTCAGGAGACTGCACATTGCCACTTCCGCCGCCAACCGCAAAAGGCACAAGCACTTGTTACTCCGTTCTTCTTGGCCTAATTCATAACATCCACCCCGAGACATACATCCCTTTGACCTTCTGTCAACTTTCTTTATTGCTCATTTGAACAATTCGGATCGAGCCGAAATATCCCAGCCAGACCAGCATCCAACGTTATGGAGCAACGTGCAGCCGTGCGTGATCCTGCTCAGCCCTGCTCGAGACATCACCCGCCCGCGTTCCTAGCCCACCCCGCCGCCCCTCTGAGGCCCGAACGCAGCTCCCCGCCTGTCCTCACCTTGACACAGTCCCCCGGGTACATGAGGCTGTGCTCCAGCACCCCAGCCACAGCCCCTGCGAGCATGTGGGTGGAG